TTCACTGGCTTCCAGTAACTGCTAGAATCCACTTCAAGACACTGGTACTTGCGTACCATGCTGCGAATGGATCTGGCCCTTCCTACATCCAGGACATTGTTAAACCGTACACCCCAGCACGTGCACTCCGCTCTGCATCAGCCAAACAGCTCGCTGCACCCGCACTGCGAGGGGGACCCAAGTTCCCATCAGCAAAAACACGTGGGTTTGCTATCCTGGCTCCAAAATGGTGGAATGAGCTCCCCATTGAAATCAGGACAGCAGAAAGCTTACACATCTTCCGGCGCAGACTGAAAACTCATCTCTTTAGACTCCACTTCGAGAGATAGAATTACTAACAAAGCACTTATATACTAATAAAGGACTGGCTTATCTAAAGCCAGTTGAGTAGCACTTGAAATGTGTGGCTCTATGAAACCTGATGTACTTATATGATTCTGTTTTCTTCAAGGTTGTATCTTCCTGGTCGAATGCACTTATTGTAAGTTGCTTTGGATAAAAGCGTCAGCTAAATGCAATGTAATGTAATGTAATGAAAATGGGATCTGGCAAAAATCTTTGTCTTAAAAAAAAGGCTAGTATTCTTAAATGTGTTGTTGTGATAGGCGAAAACTTCAGAATATTTTTTTACCACCAGTCAAATGATGGCGAATGTTTTGACCTAAATAGGGGTTTATAATATAGATGGTTTGCTTTCATCTACAATGATGGCAATTTGATGATAGTGTAGTGGCAGCCAAATGTTGCTTAAAGTAGGCATATGTATTATTCTGGGATTAGACAACCCTCAGCTGAATTTGTGGAAACCCCATTGTTTTTAAGGCTAGTCAATTTAACAATTTGCAAAGAGATCCTTACGTTACAAAAGTTATTTCTAATATCTAGAACAGAAATATAAATAATTTGAGGTCATACATACTGGCGTCAATTTTTTTTCCAAACTCCACAAACTTGCTCAACCAGTCCATGCACTCAGTCTCCAGGTAGCCTTTGGTGTATTCTTTCAGAACCTGGACTTCATCCCACTTCCTCTTAGTCGGCTCTGACGCGGCGGTTGGGGCCACCCAGGTGGAGTGGGAGTCGTCGAAGGACAGGAAGTCGGTCCCGTCGTAGCTGTACATGTCCGTCCCATGGCGGTACTGAAGCTTACCGTTAGGCTGCGTTTCGCCCTCACAGCCGTGCCTCCACTGCAGAATGTGGACGTCTGTAACGAGAGCGAGGGGCGGGACAGTGAGACAAGAGCCTAATAACAAGAATATGGTTTAATATATAGACATAAGTCTGTCTACTACAAAACTCTATTTCCTTTTACGCATTTACTAAGATCAAAAAGTCTGCCAGTAAACTATTTTAAAATTTGATTCAATTCATGCTCCTGCTATCAATATGAGACAATGTCATATGGCAATCTATGTCAACTAACAATGGAATAATTAAAAACTGAACTGTGCTCTAAAAAAAACATGTTCTTTATAATTAAAATACACCTCCTGTTGTTGGAGGACAAGTTGCTAGTCAAAGCAGCGTGTCACTAAAATAAGAACAACTGGTCCCCCTTAAATAGGCAACCCACCTTAAGTTAGCATGTTGTTGTTGCTAACTCTTCACTTAAAGCAGGAAGAGACAAGCAAGACACTGGCAATCACTTTGATAATTAAAACATGTGTTTCAATGGCTAGAAGTAATTGTTTGGATTCTACAAATGTTCTTTTCAAATGTCTCACTTGCTAATTGCCCAAGCAACAATTGCTAAAAAAGCTAGCACTCTTTAGTAAGGAGGTGCACTTTGATGGAAATGGTAAAACATGTGTGCCATGGTACAGGGGAATCCGAAGGTTGCATGGATGATGTTATTATAAATAATTATTTTGGCTCCTGCGTGGATCTTACCCGAGTCATTCTGTCTCATTCGTTTAATCAGGATGTCGATGTTGACTTTGAACCACTGCTGCTTGCTCTGGCGGGACTGTGTGCCTTTCTCCCAGTATTCTACTGGCATTTGCTTCTTCATAAAGTCCTGTTTGGGAACTTTCTTCTGATTATCGCTGTCAAAGTAGTCGATCATCTTGTTGTCCAGCAGCCCCATGGCGGTGAACTCATGGAGGCCTGGGAGTTCCACAGGTTTGGAGAAGGCTGTGTAGATGTAGGTGAGGGAATGCATCTCTGAGGGTCACACAGGGGGAAAGACAGACATATGTTTATTAGACAATGCAGATATAGGTATGTAGATTTGACTCTTAGGTTTCAAATGGGCTTCATCCATCCAATTACACTGTTACAAGTGAGTATTTTGACCATATCATCATTTGTATGCATATTTTTCTACTACAAGTGGAATAAACTTGAATGGGTAATGGATTTCAGCATATGAGAATTCATATTATACGTTCCTTATAATTGTGCACACAGTGTAGTTAGACAAACAGCAACTCCTTGTAAATGAGGAGGTTGACGTGTTTTGGTTTGAGAAAAATGACCTCCACAATTAATCAATTCTGTTCATAAACGTATCAACTATTTTTTATAAATTGTGAAATGTGTGTTGTTTAATGTGAAGGCAAGTGCAGTAAATAGAACTGAGTTGTATGGTTTCCTGTGATACTTCCGGGAAACAAACGACCACATTAAAAATCTGAGAAAAAGCTTTTGACAGTTTGCCATAAATGTCTTTTAATAAGAATTGCATTACAGAAATGCCAAAGATACATATGTTATGTTGTTTAAGACTGTTTACATGTTTTACTCGGGACTTCCTAAAAATGTTCACTTTTAAAAACAACTTAAAAACATTGAAAAAAAATCGTTATATGTTTTAAGGTTTAAAGAATTTGATTCAAAGAAACGTAAGGCTTATCTTGATTAACAGAATACCGACGCCATGTTGTACCCGCAGCTTCAATAAGCAACAGCTGTCAATCATGAAAAACTCAATCCAATTCTTGTTAGATTTATGTACTAGAGCTACAGAATATTTTTCTATTACCACCAATGAAGACACTAAACTTCTATTTTAACAAATTAAACGAAAGAAATGAACAGAAAAAACGAATTTCAAACGACGTCACAAACTCGTTTATTTTTGCTTTCACTTTCAACCTGACTTACATAAAGGTCTCAAAAAACTCTTAACTCACCGCAGTTTGCCACCAGTCCTGTCCCCAAAAGGACAAATACTGCGAGGAAATACATGTTCGCGTCGAACTAGGCACTCTTCGTTTCTAAAAGTCAAGTTGTATCCGAATGTAAAAACGACCCGTAGGCAGACTGCTGCAGACTGCTGCTCACTGCCCGCTCCCTGCTGCTGCTTCCTGCTTCTTCTGTCGTACTCTGCTCATGGTGCATTCATGGGCTGCCGT